CGTCGTCGTCGTAATAGTCGTCGTCGTCGTCGTGGTGGTAGTGGTAGTGTTGGTGGTGGCGTTGGTGGTGGTGGTGGTGGTGGTGGCGGTGGTGGCGGTGGTGACGGTAGTAGTAGTCGTAGTAGTAGTAGTAGTAGCAGCAGCAGCAGCAGCAGCAGCAGCAGCAGTAGTAGCAGTTGTAGTAGTAGGTGTTGTAGTTGTAGTAGTAGTAGTAGTAGTAGTAGTAGGAGTAGCAGTAGCAGTAGTAGTAGTAGTAGTAGTAATAGTAGTAGTAGTAGTAGTAGTAGTAGTAGTAGTACAGTCGTCGTCGTGGTGCTGGTGGTAGTAGCGGCAGTAGTAGCAGTGGTGCAGAAGCAACAAATCTGGTCGTCGTGAAGTTTTCGACGTCGTCGGTGTCATCCTGGTCCTGGTCCTGATCTTCGCTAGAAGAAAGTCCCGTACTGCTTGTAATAACGTGTGGCGGTGGTGATGATAGTGGTAGTGGTTCTGGCCGTGGTAGTAGCGACAAGTGATGTAAGACAAGCTAATCTGCAGATAGCAAAAGCTACCAACGACTCCACATCAGCAAAGAGTCTGAAGCAGTTCCTGGATCTGCGTCTGGCCCCAGCTGAGCCACTCATCCATGATCTCCTATGTTGAATGAAGGGCTTGAAGCCTGCAGGACTCAGGCCTTGAGGCTTCAGGGTGCTGGATTCAGAGTTTGGTGTGCCGCCAGAAGATACTTATCTCTATCTAGAAGGGGAAGGCATGGATATATCTCGCAGTTTAGGATTCGCCTTGCGCGATCATAACCATAGCCGGCTTGTTTGATGGTGTTCCTATACATCATACTGGGCTGTATTTTCACACTTGACATGCAAGGAAGCACAAAGAAGCTGTTGTTCAAGGCTTAAGCCAAGTTCAGGGTCTGAATGGGCCCAATATGCGTGTGCGCTTTTCTTTTTAGAAATCAAGCTTTCCATGAGCGGGTGCATGGTTTTCCCTGTCTGCCCGGATCCAATTTTAAAAAGTGTGAAGTAAAGCCTGCATATGGTGTGCCACCTCGCCACTGGTGGCGATGCGTATCTTGCAACCCAGTGAGCTACGATTTCTTCTGTTTGCCGGATGAGGCTTCAACGACGCTTCCTGCGTGCACACAGCCCAGAATCACCGTGTCGGGTCAAGAAGTCCAAGATTACTGGGGGTTTCGGATAGCGATCCGGCATTCCTGTCCTCCTCCGTGGTCAGGAAATCAAACTGGATGTAGTGACGATATCCTCGGTGTCAATGCGTCAAGCAACCCCGATACCGAAGGCCTGGATAGTTTACCCCAAGTCCTACGGCCATACTGCCAGGAAAGACAACAGCCATATTGAGAGCGACAACAGCGATAGTTCATTAGTACGAATGAATGAGAACAGTCCTGGTTCGTGATACGAACAACAGGCAGCAGCAGCAGCAGCAGCAGCAGCAGCAGCAGCAGCAACAACAACAACAACAACAACAACAACAACAACAACAACAACAACAACAACAACACAAACAAACAAACAAACAAACAAACAAACA